GAATTTGTCAAATTCAACTTTAATATCGAAAACGAAAGCACTGAATATAATCATACTTTTATTCTCTCTGAGGGAATTCCTGCCGATGCCATACTTGGTATGGATTTCATTGGACAGAATATAAGCTGTTTAAGATTTGGGCTATCGGACCCAACACCCATCATCGAAACCACTGACCCACAGATAATTAATAATTTAAGTGAATTAACTCTCTATTATAAACCAGATAAAACTTTTAATTTTAATCTTATATCTACTTTAATGAACGAAATACCCGACGAAAAGACTCGAAAGTCTTTAATGAATTTATATTACGATCAATTCGCAATAGATTACGAAACTAATAATAAAAATGACAATTCCCCACTCAAAAATGACTTCAAATTTGATACTATAATTGGAACAGACAATCCAACACAAATTCTTAAACTTAAATCACTTCTTATTAAATTTCGTTGTAACTTTGCATTTTCTATGAACGAATTGTCGAAAGCAAATGGAATTAAATTTAGTATTGAACTAACTGACGATAAACCGTTCAATCGCGCACCCTATAGAGTCAGCACAAACGAAAAGAAAATTATCGAAGAACAAATTAAAGAAATGTTAGACAACGACATAATTCAATTATCGCGTAGTTCCTACGCTTCCCCTGTGGTCCTTGTCCGGAAACGTGACAATTCAACTCGTTTTTGCATCGACTTTCGATTATTAAATAGCCTTACAATTAAAGACCGTTATCCACTGGCTCTGATAGACGAACTTTTACACGCATTACAAGGAAGCCTATATATTTCGACATTAGATTTGAAATCCGGATATTGGCAAATGGAAATCGAACCCTCCGACCGCCATAAGACGGCTTTTATCACAACCCAAGGCCTGTATGAGTTCAAACGAGTCGCGTTCGGTTTATGTAACGCCCCCTCTTTCTGCCAGCGCTTTATTAATGACGTATTTTCTGGATATTTGTGGGTGTTTGTCTTATGTTATTTAGACGATATCGTTATTTATTCCAAAACATTTGAAGAACATTTAGACCATATAGAAAAAGTCTTCATCCGATTGCAAGAGGCTAATCTTAAACTCCAACCTAAGAAGTGTCAAGTTTTGCCAAAAGTAGTTAAATTCTTGGGATACGTTGTCTCGAGTAAAGGCATAGAACCCGATGAAGAGAAAATAATAGCAGTCAAAAATTTTCCAATCCCCAAAACGCAACGTGACGTACGGGCTTACTTAGGACTTACGGGTTATTATCGATCATTAATTAAAGATTACGCTAAAATAGCGCGTCCTCTCACTCAACAATTAAAGAAAGAAAATACCACAAATCCTAACAAAATACAATGGTCATCTGAGTGTGACAAGGCATTTAATACGTTAAAGTCTAAATTGTTAAACAAACCTATATTAGCACATTTTATTGAAGGACAACTATTGATTCTCTACACAGACGCGAGTGATTATGCCATTGGATGGGTATTACATCAAGTACAAGACAGTAAAGAACGTGTCCTCGTATACGGAAGTAAGGCTTTGACAAACACTCAACGCAATTACTGTGTAACGGACAAAGAGGCCTTAGCAATGGTCACAGCAATAATTAAATTACGACACTTTTTAACCGGCGTGCACTTTATCGTTAGAACCGATCATTGTGCCTTGTGCTGGCTTCTTAAAGTTAGAGACGTGAGCGGTCGACTTGCCCGGTACGCGTTACGGTTACAAGAACTCGATTTTGAAATTCAATACAAGTCCGGAAAATCACATAAAAACTGTGATACATTAAGTAGATACCCAGTCGCGAATTCTCAGGCCAATGATAGCAACAGTGAAGAAGAACTCGAGATACCCGTCTACTGTACAACAACTAAAATCACGAGATGTAAAAGCCAATGTTTACAAATGGCCGACCGATATCCATCATTTATCAAAATTGAAAATAAATCAATAGTCATAATTCCTGAATTAGGTATCGAATGGTCAGAGAATGTTTATACTACTTCCGATTCAAATGATTTGTACCTCGAAGTGGAGCCATTGCACCAAAATTCAGTCCCGAATTTTAGTATAGATACAATCGACATGGCGACCGAACAACAGAACGATAATTGGATACGAAATATAATAGATAATTTAAACGATGACGAAACAAACGATAGCGCTCGTTATGAGTTAAACGATGGCGTACTGTACCGTAAAACACATGACGATTACGGTGAACCGATGCTCTTATTGTGTTTACCGTCGCGTCTGCGCGACCAAGTGCTACAAGACCTTCACGGGTCACTGACCGGTGGACATGTCGGTTACTATAAAACTCTTTGTAAAGTACGTCGTCGATTCTATTGGCCGTTAAGAGATCAATACGTCAAAAAATTCGTTCAGTCATGTAATTGTTGTCAATTTCGTAAAATCGAAACCGCTTTACCAAAGGGTTTACTTCACCCTATTCCAATCTCAAAACCATTTGATCTACTCGGATGCGACCTGGTGGGCCCATTACCCACAAGTAACGAAAACAAATATTTATTAGTATTCATCGATTATGCGACACGTTTTATAATATTGGCCCCCCTTAAAGAAAGTAAAACCAATAATATAGCAAAAGAATTTATCGAAAAAAATTGTCTGTCGTTACGGCGCTCCCAAGCGGATATTAACCGACAGAGGACGACAGTTTGTGTCTAATGCAATGGACGACGTGTTACGATTTTTCAACACAAGTCATTCGCTGTGCGCCGCATACAAGCCCTCGACTCAAGGACTCGTGGAACGCGCGAACAGGACACTCGAGGATATGATTTCAATGTATTGTAACACGAATCAACGCAATTGGTCAAACGTAATCCCGTTCATTGAATTTGCCTTTAATTCTTCAGTCAATCAATCGACAAAGTTCACTCCATTCTTTGCTTTACATGGATTCGAACCCAATTTACCGACTGACGTCGCGCTTAATCTCCCTACCGATAAGATAAGCCAAATCACTACCACCAAACTTCGAGACGCTCGCGATCTGCTTAAGGAATATCTAAGGGAAGCTCAAGACTCCCAAAAGCTACAATACGACAAACACCATCGCGACGTGAAGTTCAGCGTCGGCGATGCTGTCGGTGTGTATAAAAAATTACGAAAAAAAGGAGTAAATGAGAAAATGCTATGTAATTTCAGCGGACCATATCGTGTCACAAAAGTATACACGATTCCATATAACACATACGAAGTGGAAGAGTACTGTCACCCAAAAACACGCCAAGACTACCCTTTAATACAATTAAAGAAATGGAACATTAGAGATGAAACAACCTCAGTTAATAATGATTCACAAATGAATAATAAATCTCATATTGAGACCACTAATGATAATAATAATGAGAAATTTAATCAAATTGTCGAAATAAATGACCAATTTGAAATTATAGAAGGTTCCGGTACGACTCCTGCCGAAGAGAATAATGCAGTGACCTCAAGTGAAAATGTATTTAGTAAACATGTATTACCGCAAAGGCGTGGGAAGGTCACTGTGGGGAAGCCTTTAACTGTTCCGGCGCATGCACCAAAGGGAGCAGTTAAAGAAGACAACATTGGATTGGGATTAACGCCATCCCGCGAAGGTCCAGTGGGTGTGATACCTTTAGATAACAATACAAGCGGTAGTACGACAATTGTGAAAAATATAAACTAATTATATAAGATTTGGAGTCGTGTTATCTAAAGAAGAGGCCTATATAAAGAGTTGCCACAATAGTTAAGACAAGTGAAAGTCTCTATTAGTGGAACATAACAGCGCGCATTATTTGGTTTATTTCATATTGAAATGTATTTTGTGCACTCTGATATACACTATCTTAATTTAATAATGGTTAATTTTATTGGACTTTGGTCGCCTGGACTACGAATCACCGCTTTGGATATGGATTATCGGACTACTGACGTCGATTTACGGTTACGTATCCGACTTCCGGAAGCCTTATCGAAAGAGCTCTTCAATAAAACTTCCTGGACTTGGATGGTAATTAATAGGTTAAGCTTTGCATTAAAATTGTAGCTCATTGCTTATTTAGTTGTTTAATTGTATAACAAGTTATATTATTTATTAGAATAGGAATTAAGTTTTGTATCTTTAATTTATGCAACATTGTATAATGTTAGTTTTATTAATTTTTATTTTACTTATTACTATTGCTCCTATTTTTACCATAGGTAATTAACTTTTAATCAGAATTTTATTAATTAAATAGTGTTATATGTAGTTGTAACTGAATGATGTTCATTTAAAGAATTTATGTAACGATGAATCTGTTATTATCTTAAAGTTTTAGTATAATTTAAGTTTAATGTTAGCCTTTTTTGTTTTCTAATAAATTTAATTAACTAGATTAATTATGTAACTTTTAATGTATTTTTATTAATTATAAACCAGAATGTACTTGAATTTTTATTTAATTATCAGCTCGGGAGTGCTGACCGGTAGCGACGGCCGAAATGTAAGCCGTGTTATTGCCTGTCATTATTTTTTATTGCCATAATTGGCACTGAATTATAATGACTGGCATTTTTGCTCTGAGATGAGAGATGCGATGATGTGATCACATCTCTCGTCAGAGTACCAGCAGACCCGAGAGCGCACTGTTGTTTTGTTAACTGTTTTCTCTACAAATAAAACTTAATCCAGTTATTCATTTAATTGTGTCTAAATTATTTATAAGTTTCGATTATTTGGTTTTGTTTTAAAATAGGTAATGCTAAATTTATTAATTATGTTTATGTACAGTGCAGTATGTAGTGTTAAGGGTACTCTCCAGAATGACCCCCCTCCGGGGGTGTATAAGCCCACTTTTTGGCGGCTTACAATATATTAACAATTATTTAATATATCAATTCATTGCTACATACTTAACATCTACTTATATTTACATATAATTAATATAAGTTTAAATTCAATTACAACTTAAACTAATGTAAAACATTGTAAAATACGATCAAAAACAACACATTTATAACAAATGACAGCATTGGTTGGTTTTGCGGGCAGTCTTGTAGAACACTTTGCTCTGAGAGCTCAGGTCTTCAGACTTAGACACCAAAGTGTCCAACTGTTCGCCCCTTTGAAGGATACTTGTAATCGTGTTGTGGACTATAATCTTTGTCTCATCCAAATCTTCCCGTATTGTAGTCATAGCGTCCGTTTCTCTCGGGTTCTGGTATTTAGTTAAATACGGCTCCAGAGCTGTGAACGGCGCCGAACTGTCCCCACAATCAATGCATTAGTCAATCAAATCAAACAACAAATCGGGTCATTGTCTTACTTGTCAAGAGTGGTCGGCCAGGAATGCGAGGGAACCGTTTCGGCGAACTCGGCCAACACTCGGCCGCAGAGGGTGTGCGCCACTCGATGCGGGTACTCGTGGTCCGAGATTATCACTCCCGACAGGCCATCCGATCGCACGTAAACGTGACACAAATACTCTGTCCAACAAAAACAGATAACAAATATATATACAGCGCATGATCTTTAAAAAAAGTCTCTACGACTACTGCTTTGTAATGCGCGCTTCACTGCAATACATTTTTTGGGGAGCAAACAAATATGAATGTATGTGTTTGTTCCCCTCCCCCCCCCAAAAAAATGTATTGCAGTGAAATGCACATTACAAAGCAGTAGTCGTAGAGACTTTTGATAGAGATCACGCGGTGTATATCAATCGGCAACTCATGAGTGGGTCTCTAAGCCCAAGAGTTGGCCCAAACAAATACCCTGTTGTTTAATAGAAAATCGCGTGGCCTTTACCGACCGCTCGACGCATACTTTGGCCGTGAATTTCATGAACTCGAGGACACTATTCCTCTGATAGAAGCCAAACGACGACAGCTCTGACGCCGAATTCAAGTTAATGACCCGATTGTTGTCATTCTTGTGGAGCACTGATATGTAGTAGAGTTTGACCATTATTTCGGACCAATTCAAGTGACAATTGAAGTGCAAACTGTGTGTCAACAGAGGGTTGAGTTGTTGTCAATGAATACAACAATCACAACGTGTTGTCATTCGTTGACATCAGTATTATTCTTGATATTCTTGATTTTTATATTTCATAGTATTGCAGTATTTTTTGTAATCGAGCAAAATTAAATTTATATTGATTAACATGTTTACAATGTTTCGTGACAAAAATATGGCTTTGTCCAATATATTTAATAAAAACCAATTTATCATATACTATCATCAAACATTTTATAATTAAATTTTGTTGATTATATTGCCAGTTAATATTTCCGGATGAGTCTAATGTATAAGGTTTGTCACAAACAATAAGCTATTTATAGCAATACTTATTATTATTTATTTGTATATTTAACTCGTATTGCATAATTTTCTTGAAATTTAGCAAAATTAAATTTATATTGATTAACATGTTTACAACATATTGTGATAAATTATAAAAATATATTTACATAGAAGGCGGTTTGTTATCCAATTTGTTTGTTATACATTATAATGTATACTATAAAATAAAATTTTAATTTATCTGTCGTTATTATTGTTATTTGAATTGCTTTAATTTAATTTATTATTTATCAAATATATAACCTAATTAATATCCTTATTTATTTATGGTTAGTAGTTTTGAATATAGTTAATATTATTACACAGAAATATTCATTTTATATTTTCAATTAATTATCTATAATATTGCAATATTTTATTGTAATCCAACAAAATTAAATTTATATTGATTCAACAAGTTTGCATTATTTTGATTAAATATATCGGGCGTAGGCATGGTACTAGTTTTAGGTGGGTTTGTCATATATAAGCTTTGCCACAAACAACTAGACTATTATTACTTTATTATTTCATTATAGTTACTAGAATTAACTATTACATAAAATTTATTAAGAAGCTAACTAAAATGCTACCTAAAATATCTATCAAATCATTTACATTGAAAACACTACTATTGTGTGCTTTTCTATTCCACGGCTTCTCAGTAAGTTTGTTGTACTACTCATACGATAAGGCAACTACTGTCCGGTATGAAAGTAACAAAAATTTGAGCATGCCAGCAATTACAATATGTGCACCGATTCTTGGCTTAATTTACCCTAATATTAGGGGCAAGTATTTGAAAAATAATAGTTTTAATCTCGGTAAATTCTGGAACCAATCCATTGGCGATCAATTGGCAGCAATCATACCACACCACAAAATATTTTACTGTAACTATATCAATATGGACAAATATTACAAATGCGACTATGATACACCGTATAGAGTGTCGATAGGGGCCACTAGAATATGTTGGACAATATTCAGCCAGTGGTCGTCCGAACCCGACTATCGGTACTCTATTAACACAACATGCGCTGAGGGGTCAATGTTTATGGCAATTAATTTTTATAATAAGTCGCTTATAACCCACGGATCGATCAATTTTCGGATACATTCCCGATCAACAAAACCTAGATCTTATTACGGTAATGGCGTGGTTAGATTAGACTTACGAAACAGCAGCAAATGCCATGTTAAGTATAAAAAGACCACTACGGTAATTAATAAAATATATTTAGATAAGGCTAAATGTTTTGTAAATCAAGATTTTGGTGACTGCGTGAATGAGTGTACAATCCGGGAATATTACCGCAAGTATACCGTATTTCCCTTTTTACCATTAATATATAGCGATGAGCATAAAGATATGACCAAGGCGTTTGTTAAATATATAAACGATACAATTATTGCCCGGCATTGCGGCCGAAAATGTCTAGATCGGAACCAGTGTGTAAAACACCAATATGCAATTGAGTATTATGCATTAGACCATAGTAATATTAATACATTGTCGTATGCATTCGAAGTAATGTTACCCTCATTACCCGAAAAAGTACTCGAGTTATCATTAAAAATGCCATTTAAAGAGTTTATGGCATGTTTTGGAGAATTTCTGGGTCTATGGTTGGCTGGATTGGGATATTATCGACGACGGTACATGTAGGTATATTGTTATAACATGCAGTCATTAATTTTAATGTTTCAACATTACTAGGCTACATCAAAGCGAATCACGAATGTCGATAATTCTAGAAATATTATTGATTAAAGCTATTACTAGTTTTTTCAAATAAATTTTAATTGAGAGTATCATGGTAATATAAATTATAAATTAAGTTATATTAAGTTTATGGTTTTATTGAAGTAGTAAAGCAAATAACAAAAATTAACAATAATTTTAAACTACCCTAAAATCGTGCCTATTACCCGCGGGTTATCTAATGAAAAAAGTGATATTTTTGGGAAATTAATGAGTGCGGGTTATCTGCAAAGTGCGGGTTATGTGTAGCGTTGCCAAACATACAAGAATTTCCTTATTAAACATGAATTTTCACAGAATACGGGAAGAAATTTTCCTGTACATTGAAAAATACAGGAAAAAATATTTCACAAATAAGCTGTAATACAAAAAATACAGGAATTTTTGGACATTTTTTCACATTTATACAGGATTTTCAAAATATTATTTGATGTCTTAAAATGATAAATTGTTATTTTATTAAAATATTTTACTCAGTAATAAATATAATATTATAGAGCATCAAATCAGAGTCGGAATCACATTCAAAAGGAGAGTTAAGATTAGTCATAACATTGGATTCTTCATCAGATGTCTTCAGATTCAGAATCAATTGTCAAATCATTGAGCTTGTTTTAAACATAATAACTAATTTAATTAATTACAAATATTTAAAATTTTCGAACGGTTAAATACAAAAATTAAGTTTCATAGTGTTAACCTTATATTTCAAAAACACGCGTTTTTTGTCAAAACAAACAGGTTTTACAA